TTAATATTAGATAATATTTAATAATTTTAAAAATTAATATTAGATAATATTTAATAATTTTAAAAATATTTTTGAATATTCAATAATTAAAAACATGAAGAGATAAGAGATAAGATAAAATATATAAGTGAAATAAGAAGAAAAAAAATATGAAGAATTTCCAATTCTTACTTTTTTTTGGAGAATTTGAAATTCTACTATTTCAAGAAATTTCACAAATGCTTGAATTTCAAATTCCTTATAAATTCTTCATCCAAACAAGATATTTCACCTCAAAGAATTTGAAATTCTTCAAATAAATGAATTACTCCATTTAAATTCCTCATCCAAACACACTATTAGGATAATTGGGTTATATAGGTGACAAGTTATTTTATTTTATTTTATTTTTATTGTTACGGTGCCACATGTTGAATTCCTATTGGGTGTTTTTATGGTAAAAATGACATGTGGCGAGCATGTAGAAAGCATTTGCATTACTTTATTTTTGGACCACCTTTTTTTATTTAATTTTTTTTATTAGTCAGATCCTATAGCCTATAGTGACTACCTTTTTTTTGTTTCAAAATTTTCATTTTTTTTTGGTCATTGAAGACATACAGCCAAAGAAGTCGCTATGGCCCATAGCGACGTCACCTTTTTTTTCCAGATTTATTTGACCAATTTTTTTTAAAAAAGTTATTTTGTAATTCATTTTTTTTTCTTTTGCACTTTTTTTTTACATTTTTTCGCTTCACTTATGTTTTTCTTTATATTTTTTATTTCTTTTCCAGATGTATTTTAACAATTTTTGTTTACTATTTTTAAAATTTTGTACTTTTTTTTCTTTTCCCTCAGTTTTTTTTATCAATTAGATCTTATAGTCCATAGTGAATGCCTTTTTTTTTTCAAATTTTTTGTTTTTTTTTTATCATTGAGGCCATACACCTTTTTTTTAGAGTTTTTTTTTCATTTTTTAAAAAACTTTTCTTTATAAAAATGGAATTTTTTAATGTTAATTATTTTTATTTAAATTTATTTTATTAAATGTTACGAATGTTGTTATTGTGCATAGTGACCCTTTTTTTTCGTATTACTTATTTTCATTTTTTTAATATATTTTTTTTTAAAAAAATTCATTTTTTTTTCCAGTTTTTATATGTTTTTCTTTATAAAAACGGAGTTTTTTTTTTAATCTTAATTATTTTTATTCAAATTTATCTTAAAATATATTTATAATTTATTTTTGGTTGACTGAACTATTAATTTCTACTAAAAGTTTAAAAAATGATTCATAACTTATATACTCTTTAATTATCTTATTTCTAGTCAATGTGAGATTTGTAAGATGAGGATTGTCCTCTATTTATATATTCTTTAATTTTCTTGTTTTTTTTTAATTATCTTATCTATTGAGAGATGTGAGACTTGTAAGATAAAAGTTACTCTCTACTTACATACTATTTACCTGGACTTTTCTCAATACACTCCCTTAAGTCTAAGACTATTGAGCTTGTTAATAGTGAGTAATCTGGTACTAACTTACAACAGTGAGTTACGATTCTAATTCAAACATACAAAATTAACTTGTAAGATTTGTCATTCACTTATATATTATTTAATTATCTTATCTCTAGTCGCTGTAGGACTTAAATTTTTTTTCAATAAATAATTATTACTAATAGTAAATTTTGGTGTAATATAAATATATTTTTAGTAACTATTATGTATTAATTATTATTATGTATTAATTATTAACATTTTTATTTAATTATTGTTATTAAATAATTGTCACTTGAGAGGAAGGTATTTATTGAAAACAAAACACAATTGTATATGGCGTAAACAGTAAAAAAGTGGACCGTGTAACAAATAAAAAAATAAAGTCTCACTAGGCTTTAGCGATAACTCAATATATATATATATATATATAACTTTTAGAAATAAAATAAAAAATAAAAATCAACAACCTTAAAAAATATTGTAACTTTGAGGCACAATAACAAGTAAGAGAAAAAAAGAAATTGTATCGTTATGGCCATAATGATAAATTAAAAAGAAAATTACACACTACAGTAATTTTCGCCTTCGGTGTCAAGTGAAATATTGCACCTTACTTTAAAAATAAAAAAGAAGTTAATCATTCTACATTATTAGTGTAAAGCTTTACTACATTGATAATCAATCATATCTTTTAATATCTTTTAATAGTGTCATGTTATTTATTTATTTAATCTAATAAAAATAAAATACAATAATTTAAAAGATATAATTGATTGTTAATATAAAAAAATTTATTTTAATAATATTATATAGATGATTAACTAAAAAAAAAATGTATGGCGAGAGTGCAGTTATGTTGACTAACAATTTCTCACTGACTATCTCAAAGTAAATATAGATAATTGTTTAGAATGACTCTCACTTCGATATTTTGTTTGCCAAACAATTCAAATTAGTCAATTACCTGATGTTAAAAAAAAATCTGTCATTATTAAAACTGTAATAAAAAGGAACTAATGAAACGTGTGTTTGCATTCGCGTTTAAAATGTAAAAAATCACGTTTAATGAAAAAATTATTATTGTTTCCACGTTAAACGTGATTTCTCACGTTTCAACGACGAATGCAAACACACGCGAAGTATGGTATTCAGATGATTCTCCTCCTTTATAAATCACTTCCATTATCTCAAACAATTCTGATACACTAAAAAGTAGTGGGCCCAACTAGTTACACAGTAACCAGATAGGCCCGTCATATTATTCTTCTACGGTTCCACAGTGTACATTCTTAATTTGGGCTCCAAAAGTATGGTAATCAGATAATTTAGCAGTTTGTTTCTTTGTTGCGTAGGTACTAGAGAGCCTTCGATAATAAGGAAGAAGATTATCTTCTAAAGTACTATATATTCACCTCTTTTTCTTTTTATAGTTAGATAGTGAGATAAATTGTCATTCGAGAGATTTTCTGAACAGTGGAATAAGATGGAAAGATCTATGTATTAATTTATCGTCATTGTTCATCTTCAAGAAATATAATAAAAATCACTAAGCAGAAAATCGGTAGCTTGTAATAACTATCAGGGTAACTGTAGGTAATTGTTGTAAGTTTTGTAAAGCTTCAAATTTATTGTCTGGAGCATCTATTTATCCATTTTGAATTTGAAGAAAAAAAGTTGAACTCTGGATTTTGTTTATTTTCAAAGATATTTGGTTTTTTAGTACCCAATAATGAGTTGGAAACACCCATTCATAAGAAAAAAAGTTGAGTAAAGCATATAATTTTATATTTTTAACTTAAAAATACTTCTCTAATACTCTATAAAAATTGTTATTTTATTATTTAATTACTAAAGAGTGTTAGAGAAGTATTTTTGTCTCTATATTTTAACTAATTTTCGCTTTTAGTCTTTAATTTTTTGCTATAAACATTTTAATCCTTAACATAACAAAATTTTATTCACAGAAAAAAATTTCACAAACTAAAATCAAATGAAACTTTTTGGGTTCTAAAAATTAAAATTAATAAGAGTTCCAAACTGAAAACATATGTAATCCATTAAAGAAATTCAGGATCCTTGGAAAATACAAAGGAAATGAGTGACAAAGTGTGTCATCATTTATCGTTTAATCTACACAAACAACATAGAACTATTGGTGCTTCATATCCATTGCTTTGGTCCAAATCCAATGCTTTATTTGGCTCTTTTGTGAAGAAATCATTAGGTCCATAAATGGTTGAACACTGATTATTGAGATTCCTTCTGTGAGCTCTTCTCTCAGCCACGAGATAGTGACCAAGAGAGGGAGCATCATTCACGATCACTGCATCAGTAGTTAGCTTTGAACAAAGTGAGAAGAACCAAGAAGGACTCAGCTTGTGAGTCTTTTTGTTGTCCTTTGAGGGTTCAACTATTCTTCCTCTGGTTGATCTCCTTGAGAGTTCTAGGAAGCTAGAAATACCAAAGAGGCTGCCAAGTGTGTTGCTCTTCTCTTGGAAGAATGATCCAGTGGACTATACCCAGCCATATCAAGTTAGCAAAATGACTCATAAAACTTCTATTAACATGCATAATCTAGTCTCAAATTTATCTTGAAATTATATGTTTGTGCAAATTAATTTTATATTAGAAATTTAGAATTATTCCATGTGTGTTTGGATGATACATTTTTAATAGAGTAATTTGTTTTATTTTAATTTTTTTAAGAATTTTAAACGTTTTGAAATGAAATCTTATGTATAGATAAAAAAAATAAAATAGAATTTAAGAATTTATAAAAAAATTTAAAATAATAGAATTTCAAGTTCTTAAAAAATTTTAAATTTTTTTTATTTCTATTTCTTTTTTTCATAGTCGATATAAAAATATCAATATTTTTTAAAAATTATTGAATAGTTCAAATTATTTTTAATTTATTATATATTATCTAATGTTAATTTCTAAAATTATTTAATATTTATTTATTTTTTTATAAAATTTAATCTTAAAATTTTAATATATACACGTATAAGGGGAAATCAAATCGTTGTATTCAAGAATTTAAAACTTAAATTGATTTGTTGTACTGAAATTAAGAATTTAAAACTTAAATTGATTTGTCCAGATAAAATTGAAATAAAAAAGTTATTCAAATTAAGAATAAGGAAAATTGTTTATCTTTATGATGAGATGATCTGTATTTGATTAGTATTTAGAATATGATTTATCCTTTCTCATACTTTCTGGACCCCATGGGAACCAATCAAAGTTAATGAGAAGAGAGCAACAAGAAGATAGACTTGCTTTAGGTTGCGTTTATTGCATGAAGTTTCCTTTATCTGTACTACTCTTTTGGATTGATCATACAAAAGTTAAAATAAGCTTCATCTTCATGAATGAGAGAATTAATTACAACACAAAGTACTTGGTCAAAAACCTTGGTTCAAAGTTCAAACTAGTAAAAACAGTAAAGGTTAAGTACCTTGAATTATGTTTTTCTTTCCCCATCGTTACTATTTTTATAATTAAGTATATAAATATTAGAATTTTGAAAGATTTTTCCATTAAAAAATTTATTTATTTTCGATTGTGAAACTCTTCTAAGTTTATTAGTTTTTTTGAATGAACTATTTTTTTTTATAGAGATACTTACAGAAAATAAAAATAGAAAAAAATAAAAAGTTTTTATAAGCTAAAATTATATTATATATAAGTTAATTTGTAATTTTCCCATATTAATTTTTAAAAAATATTATTTATAATAACTCGGACATAAATTAATTTAAACTTTATAAAAACTTATTACTTTTCTCTCTTAAAAGTCTATTTAATCAGTTAATTCAAACAAAAGTTATATCCGAACAACTTTAAAACTTACACATGAGGCATGCCATGCTCTACAGGGTTTTGAAGTTACTGACCAGAAAATAACCATTGAAAGTCCTATCATCAAGTCACCATGGGTAGTTACTTCTAATAACTATCTATACAATGGGCACAGTCAACGAAGTCCTCATTTTAAGCCTCATTCAAAAAAAAAAAATATTATATTAATATTTATATAATTTTTTAAGATTTTATAATTTAAAAATTACTTTTTATTGTTAAAAACCAATTTACAGAAATTTATCAA